GAGTCCGGTCTGCAGACCGCTGTCTCAAGTGTGTTTTTTCCCAGACTGGACCCCATTAGACAGGGTGAGTCCGGTCTGCAGACCGCTGTCTCAAGTGTGTTTTTTCCCAGGCTGGACCCCGTTAGACATGGACAGTCCGGTCTGGACGCCACAGTGCAAAGCGGCACATTTTTCTTTTTCCATTCGTTTGTTTTTTTTCCCCCTTAAGTGTTTATTTTTGGGGTTTTCGCTGTCCTCACACCAGCGCCTCGCCCCCTCAGACGGGGCGCCGACTCTTACCGATGCTCGCCGCGGCTCCCCCAGCCCCCAGAGCCCTGCTGCTTACCCGTTTGGGCGCGACGCCCTTGGAGATGAAGTGGTACTTGTGCATGGCGCGCACCCACTGGCAGATGGAGGTGCAGGCTTTGGACACTTTGGCAATGGAGGCTGGGTGGAACTCCTCATTGTCCATGTAGGGCTGGATCAGCTTAATCACGGAATCGGGGATATTATCCTGAAGGGAAAACGCCAGTGTTAAAGGGGAGCTGCAGTCCCCATTTCTCAGACCAACTGGTAAGTCTTGGTAATTAAACAAATTCATCGACGAGTATCGCAAAATGTTACACATTCTGAATGAAGCACAACATCGTGAACTCTGTGAAAGTACAGTAAGTCGCCATGTCGTTGCAAAGCCCTGGTCTGGCCACGGGCGAGAGTGAGGGGTCGGGAGAATTGCGCTGTGAAGGGGCCCTTCACTACACTAGTCACTGTGATGACTTTAGTGATGTGATGTATGAGCAAATAAGTACAGGCTGTGCAGCCTGTTTGTTTGCAATGTAATAAGGTCCCTTCACACCACTGGTAGTTTGGTTGCCTCGTTCTGAATCGCAGAATATGGACCTGAGCGTACCTGAAAATTTCAGCTATTTTGTGATGTAAATGAGAGGATTTACATGTTACAGTGTGTATTTTATTTTTACTGTGGTTTGAAATGCACTCAATTATGCCAATTCCTTCTAACCATGACATATTAAAAGTAGTGCTGCAGTTCCCCTTTGAAAAGGACTCCAAAGTACAGCTGGGTAGAGACAGCAAGCCTCGTGTAAATGAGCATGTGAGTCTGTGGCTTCAGGGTTTAGAGCTTCGGCTCACACCGGCCCAGCAGCGCAGCGTCGGCTGAATTAAAGTTTCTGTTGCAAACCGGACAGAAGCATGACCTTTGAAAGCGCTTGGGCAAAGTGTAACCCGGTTTAGAAATGTGGCGATTGTGCTAGGCAGCAGGAGTGAAGCAGGTTTCAATTAATTTAAAGCATCTTTTTTATGGTCAGCGCTATCTCAAATCACTGCCCGCGGTCAAATACAGATACAAGACCTTGTCAAACTTGAAGAGGCTGTCCAGGAACTTCCCTGGGTCCTGCAGGAGGCCCTTGCCTGGCTCCCAGTAGTCGTCCACCTTGGTGCCTGGTTTCTCCCCGGCAATCTTCTTGGGCTGGATACCCTTCATAATGCAGACGGCCTCAATGACCAGCTTCACTCCCTGGGGGGGCCTCTGCATGGCGCGCACCTGATGTCCACACACGCATTAGGGACATAAGTCCAGACAGGTCCAAACGATGAGTTACAACAGCTCAGGGCTTTATCCTGGATATGCAGTGAAGTCACATGCCATACCTCAATGACATCGTTCTTGTTCAGGGACTTGAGGCTGGCCAGCGCGGCGTCCAGAGCGGGCAGGGCCTCGTCCAGGTCCTTCTGTGCATCGTCCGCAATGGCCTGAGCCACCTGGGCCTTCTCCGTCGCCTTGGCCTCCTCGGCCTGCACGCGCACCCGCGTCTCCTCCGCAACTGCTGTGTCAACCTGGCAGCATGAGGACAGAAGATCACGACTCAGAACGACCCTGCAGTAACAGCAGCTGCGCTACGGTAACAGTCACAGTCAGCTACAGTAACAGTCATAGTCAGCTACAGTAACAGTCACAGTCAGCTACGGTAACAGTCACAGTCAGCTACGGTAACAGTCACAGTCGGCTACGGTAACAGTCACAGTCGGCTACAGTAACAGTCATAGTCGGCTACAGTAACAGTCACAGTCAGCTACAGTAACAGTCACAGTCGGCTACAGTAACAGTCACATTGTGCTACAGACCCCCATCACAGTGTGCTACAGACCCCCATCACAGTGTGTGCTCCTGTCTCCACCCTCATAAGTTGAGTAAAAACAGAACACGGCACATTCAGAGTACAGTAAAAAAGGATCCTAACCATGGGAACTCATAGCAAAGCAAGTGGTGAACCCAAGGAAAAAAAGGCTCAACTACTGTATGAATTTACTGTGGAAAACCTTCACAAATACACCCCTGTACACAGTCACTGCCCTGGGCAGCACTCTCCACTCTCTCATCAATCCTTCATCATTTGACCCATGCAGCCCATTGGCAGAATGTATGCAGATGTGTTTCAGAGTACTTCTGTCTGTCTGTGCACACGGATGTTTCTCAGGAAGGTGGGAAATAAACCAGGACTGAACCTTGATTTTCTCCATAGTGACCACAGTGTCTTTGGCCGCCTCCTCCAGCAGGGGTCTCATCATCTCCAGCTCCTCCTGCATCTTGGCCACGTCCTCAGCCGTCCGCAGCAGCTGCACACACACAGGTCATAGGGTCAAAAGGTCACAGGTTCACGCGTTCACAGAGCCACAGGAATGGGAAATAGGCATTTATATTTATGCCAAATATACTGTAATGACATTTAAAAGGTGATTTTATCCATAGCAACATGCAGATACTGAGGAATGTTTGTGCATCTGCACCTGCTGCTGCAGACGTGAACACCTCTGTCTTTCCTGTCTGACACTGCTGAAGCAAGACAGATTCGTGGTCAAAAGAAAAGATGGTCCCTCTGCAACATCCCCCTAGGACCTTCACAGATTCCAGGGCAACACACTTCCTAACTGCCCTCCTGCCCTGTCCGGTGCTGTGTCCACAGTCGGCCGCTGGCCGGCCTCACCTTGTCCAGGCCCGTCTTCATCCGCAGACGCGCGCCGTTCAGCTCCTGCTTCTTCATGCCGATCAGGCTGGAGAAGATGCTGAGCAGCTCCAGGTAGCTCTTGGGCGTGACGTAGTTGTGCCTGGACAGCTCGGCCAGGTACTGCGTGCACTTCCTGGACACCATCTGGTGGATCTCCATGCACATCAGGGTCTGAGGGGGAATCGAGGAGCAGAGGCATTGTCAGAGGGTGCTCACAATTCATGGATAGAAGCCAGTTCCTCTCTGATTCTAATCACACACGAAGAAAGACCTGCCATTTAGCCACATTTCAAAAGCGAATAGTGTCCACGAGAGTTTAGCTGAGAAGATTTATCTGTCCGTATGGAATCTGGATTCATTCATTTTGCTATAATGTGCCTGTGATGGACTGGCGTCCCATCCAGGAGTATCCTGCTTGCCGGTTCCCTGCGTGACCCTGAATTGGAAGAAGCGATTAGAAAATGGATGGATGGATACAGAGTGCTTCCCTGGTTGGCCTGTTTCTATAAATAGGAAGTGCCCTATCTCCCCCTCCATCTCTCCGTTCGGGGTTCTGACCCTAACCCTGCCCCGTCTCCCCTCCCCGCCCTGCTCACCAGTCCCCGTGTGACCGCGGGGCAGTCCTCCAGCTCGGGCAGCTCGCTCAGGAAGGTCGAGGCGACGGACTGCAGCGCCTCGGGTGGCCACTCGCTGAACCAGTCGATGGTGCAGCAGGTCACCAGCGCAGGGAACTGCCTCAGGCGCGCCCGGAACACCTCTCCGATCGGGCTGAGGGGACAGGCGCGGAGGTGTGAGAGCCTGTCCCACTCTCACCCCACTCCACGTACACAGCCCCTGCTACTGTCCAGTCCAGACACACCCCCAACCTTAACTGCACAACTTTCCCACAGTATGTTTTCCATGTTTCCTACTTATCAAGCAACTTTAATGTAAAAGCAGTGAATTGGCAGAGCTGAACTGAGCCGCATATCTGTTGTTTAACTTAATTTAATGAAGTTTATGAAATCTGACGCTTCCCAAGATTGTGACCATCCAGAACAGGCATCTTCACAAATAATAAACCAAACTTAGAAAAGGTGAGTCAAGAGGCATGGAAACTTTTCTAAATCCTGTTATTATATTCTGTAAAAGACTGACGCGCTTTTGCCTTGGGCGGCTGAGTAGTAGGAACCCAGATGAAACTTTGTGTTTTGTGCACCGTTTTCAGCAGGAGTGATTCCTGTGAAAATTCCTCTACAGAATCCAGTGGAATGTCTGTAGAAAGGGTTCCCAGCAGAGATCGTCAGCAGGGAGAATGCAGATACAGCACAGGAACCCCACAGGATTCTGCAGGGGATTTTCACGTGTGTACTTGTGCGTCCCAGGCCTTGTCACCTCATGCACAGCACGGTGTGGATGTTGCTGCGGACGCGCTTGATGTAGGCAGCCATCAGGTTGGCCTTGGTGGGCTGCTGACCGAGGTCCTGGACCACAGGCTTCATGGCGGTCAGGATCCTGTCCTGCTCGTCGGGGGCATACAGGTTGGGAACGTCCCCGGAATTCAGGATGTTGTTGATGTCCTCCAGGAAAGACTCGCTCTTGATCTGAAACCATTGGGGGAATTTTTTTTTTTTAAAGAACTCAAGAATCGCAGAGCTCTTTATGTGCCGTAACCTGTTACCTTTCCCCTGAACATCATCATATACAGTGATAAATATAATTTGTCTTCTAAAAAACAGGATATACAGTATAGTAACACACTGCTCTATGGGTTAGGTCTTTTCTCCTGTAGTTAAGAAAAAAATCCAGACATTACTAAATCAAACAGAAACACACTAATGGAAAGAATCCTATATTGCCATCTTGAAAGAGTTGTCTGATGCTCTACAGAAGTCTAATCAGAGGTCTAACCACACCGCTAAATATTAAACTTATGTACTTTAATCCCCAGCAGGTCCCTTACACTAAGCTAAAGTCTTGAGACCACAGCCCTGATGATCAGTGCAGGCTGTGCGGATGGTTTGCCTTAAAATAGTTTTTACAGCCTGGAGGGACTGAACAAAAGTTACAGAACCAGGACTTCTGACAACCTGTGGTTTCTTTTTCTGCACAAAAAAATATTTGGGCTATGTGAAACTTTTTCCCCCTCTATCTCTGAGACAGATGATAGCCTGGAGGTGCAGCACCAGAAAGTATCTCCTGGAGCTGGTCTGCATGCTGACCTGCGTGTCCACGAACAGGAAGGTGATCTGCACATTCTGCAGCCCGGCCTTCAGCATGATGCTCTTGATGTCTTCACGCCACTCAGCTGCGCCGTAGTTTTTGGACAGTTCAATCTGGAAGCACTCGTAATCAGCCCTGACAGGGAGAAACAAGACGCAGGATTAAGAAAAGACAATCTTCGCGTACAGAACATGCCCTTGACAGTTGTGTGCGGACACCTGAGGCTGGTTATTCTTATTGTTCTCTTTGGTTACTTGGAGTTGGAGATTCAGCCAAAGACTTTGTCATGAAATGAAACTGTAACTTAAACCCTCTCTATAACAAACTGTGTTCTTGCTCATGGTCTGGTGTGACCATGGCTATGGAGTCCACTTTCAGGGCTGCTTTTCTTCCTTTAAAAGCACAACTGCAGATTGGGGGCGGTTGTGCGGTCAGCTCTCTCCATGGGAACGTCAGGGCTGAGCTACAGCCAGCTGGACACAGACAGGACCCAGACAGCGGCAGGGCCTGGTGCAGACCCTTGCGCAGAAATCGAGGTCTTGGGGAGAGGCCTGTTGATTGCAGTGCTGTGGGCGCAGGGGGCGCTGTGATGAGGTTGTGTGTTTTTCAGGAAAGGGACAGGTGCCTTACATGTGCGACGCCAGCTTGGTGAGGGATTGGCGCCCACTGCCGCCCACGCCCAGCAGCAGGGCGTTGCCCAGGGGCTGGCGCAGGATGCGGCTGATCTTGCACACGTGCTGGATGGCATCCATGAACAGCACCAGCTTCATTTTGGTGGTGCTAATCTGGTTGTAGTCTTCCATGTACTCCTCGATAACCTGCACCATCTGGAAAACACAGAACGCAGGCCCTTCTGTCACAGCTGTGCCACAGCCCCCAACCTTCCCCTGCGTTCGTGATGCACAGCCGTGGTGCAGCACACCCCAGCTACCGGATCAACGGATGAAGCAGCGAGTGTTTCCACTCCTCCTTGCGCCAAGGATCACAAGGTCCAGTTTTTGACTAGATGTGTTGGTGACTGAAAATAAGAGATTGTTAGTTGAAAGAAA